GAGTAGTTGCTCACGCAATGCTTGCGGATAGTCGACATTTTAATATTGAATCCAAACGTTTTGATCTTCACCGGTGGTTCCCCAGATTGTGCAAATTGATTGGCTTTGGAATTCCCAGTTGTGTCGGCAGTCTTGACTCGGGTAGCTTCGACTCCATCACACGTTCTTTTGCACGCCCCGGGCCGCGTGAAGGATGGACTTTTGTCGGATCGGGACAGTGCTGCCCTCATGGTGAGTCTCTCATCGGTGTGAGGGCCATGGGAACGTCCTTCGCCTGGGTTTTCAGTGCGCGGGCTGCGAGGAACGAGTCAGGACAGGACGAGTTGTGTAAAACTGGCGGCATCCGCAGGAGATTCCGCCCAGGTTGCCTCAGCTGGTGAGATTCGCAAGATGCATTGCATCGATGCCCGCATCGGCACGCCCCTGCTCCACACATCACCACTCCATCTCGCAGCTCGCAGAGGTCGTCTGCAGGCCGGTGGACAAGCGCACAGACTTGGCCTTGTGCAGACGGCGGCGGTCACATGGCCTCCCAAAGTGCCGGACATATCCCTCTTTAATGGCAGTTTATCTGGTCTTGATAAGAGATACAAGCTATGGCCGCTAGCCCTCTCCCCCAAGCTGCCTCTCGTTGCTTTTTCGAGATGGCAGCGCAGAACGCCAGCCGCTTTCTGCCCTCCACGCCGCAACCCCCAGTCGCTTACTGCCATCAGCCCTGGAGCTTTGTGCGGGGGCAACTTTCGTCACTTGTCACTTGCTTGAGCTGAGCTGTCGCTGCGCACACATGTCCTGATCCGCCGGCATTGGCATCCCAGATGCGCCTCGATGACCGGACTCAAGCGCTCCCTGGAGGAGTCCTCGCACGATGGGGATGGTAGCTCGCCGCAGGAGTTGTCCCACGTGAAGCCCACGTCGCCGACCGCCTCGTCCACGTCCAACTCGTCCGCCTCGTCGTTCCGCAACGTGTCGGCCTGCAACAGATGTCGACTGCGCAAGAACCGCTGCGACCAGCGCCTGCCCTCGTGCGCCTCGTGCGACAAGGCCGGCGTCAAGTGCGTGGGCTACGATCCCATCACGAAGCGCGAGATTCCTCGCAGGTGCGTGCCTCCCCGCCACTCGGTCGATGAAGCATAAACCGCGATGGCCGGCCCAGCTGCTGACTCGGAGCCAGTTACGTCTTCTACCTCGAGACGCGCGTTGCGTATCTTGAGTCACTCCTGCAAGAAAACTCAATCACGTTTGTGCCGCCCGAGGACTTCACCCCGACCTTCCAGTCGAATGGGGCAGCAGCGACGAAGCCAGTGCCGGTCGCTGCTGGGCCGACGCAGAGCCGGAATGGCACGGCGAAGCAGCCGAGCAGTCTGACCAGGGAAGAGAGCGACAAGTATGATCGCGAGAAGCTCACGAAGCTCGTCTCGAACATTGGCATGGTCTCGGTCCAGGGCGCGAGCGACCCCCGCTTCCTCGGATCAACCTCTGGCATCTCGTTTGCGAGAGTCGTCTTTGCCGCAGTCAAGAGCTCCGTCTCGGGCTCGTCGTCGGAGCGAGGCAGCGTGCGCGGCGCCAAAGCACTCACCGCCAACGTTGCCGACGGTGGGACGTCTATGAGGTGAGTCTTAGTGCTTGCGCTGCATGTGGGACAGAGGACATGTTCCTGCCTCGCGTGGCTTTATATGTTGAACTAACACCATCCCAGAGATTCCTTTTTTGGGCTGCACACAAAACCGGCTATCCGACAGGCCCCCTTTCCTGACCGAGAGCTCGCATCTCGTCTTGTTGAACTGTATTTTGAACATGCGAACCCGCAAATCCCGATCCTGCATCGGGGCGAGTTTATGGAAATGTTTGAGCGCGTGTATGCCGCGGGGGAACGAAACAGAACCTCCCGGGAGTCATACATGCTCAACATTGTGTTTGCGATTGGGGCTGGAATAATTATGGGAAGCTCAGAATCTGGGGATTCTCCGACACCGGACAGCTCGCGGTCTCCATCCAAGGCCCGGCCCTCTCCCCCGACCAACAAGAAACGGCGGCTTGCAGGACAGCAGCATCAGCCGGAAGAGTATCACGCATCTGCAATTGTACACCTTGAAAATTTTCTCGGATCTACGCCCGCTGCAGACCGCCCCGATGGCTTTGGCGCCGGACTTGAAGAATTACAAGCCGTGTTACTGTTGGCAGGGTTTGCACTGCTACGACCAGTTGCGCCCGGCTTGTGGTACATTGTCGGTGTTGCGGTTCGGTTAGGGGTCGATCTCGGGTTACACTATGAGGACGGTGTAGGCATTGATGGGTCAGGATCGGAAGACCAAGCTCCTGGGAAACCTGAGCAAACGGCATCGGGCGACAACTCTGCGACGGCGAACAGTACCAAGATCGATGCAAAGGAAAGAGGTCGGAGGCAGTGGGTCCGAGATCTCCGTCGACGATTATGGTGGTGTGTTTACTCTCTGGACCGCCTTGTCAGCACTTGTGTTGGTAGGCCTTTTGGCATCACCGATCAGGTCGTGACGACGGAATTTCCGTCGATGCTCGATGATCGGTTTATCACGAAAGAGGGATTCTTGGAACCTACCCTCCACCAAGAGAAGCCCAGCTACAAGGTTGTAGCACACCACTATTTCCGTCTCAGGCTTTTGCAGTCTGAGATTTTGCAAGTCCTGCAACATCGCCAGGCTCAGCAAGCAAGGGCAAGCGGCGCCAATCAAGGCAACGACTTTATGCATACGAAGCTTCCATCACCGTTCCTTGTCAAATTTGAGTCCTTTCGCACGTGGCGCCAGGATATTGACAGACGCCTGCTCGACTGGAGGGACTCTGCCCCGACCCAAGCGGACGCCGGCGTGCAGTTTTCTCCTCTGTTTCTGGAGCTCAATTATTGGCAGGCCCTCATCATGCTCTATCGACAGAGTCTTGTCGTTCCTTCTGGACTAGCGGGTGAACTGGGAACGACTGACGGGAGTGTAGGGAGTCCCTCAATCGTCAGCGTGGACGAGCGTGAAGATGAAGAGTTGGTCTTTCTGAAGGTAGCAGAAGCTGGGCAAAAGGTGTTGAAACTCTATCGGCAATTGCACCGGGTCCACCTCGTCAACTACACCTTCCTCGCTACACACCATCTGTTCATGGCTGGTAAGTCTCGCCGAACACTACTCGATAACTAAGAAAGGCTGACCGTTTTAGGAATATCATTCCTATATGCAGTGTGGCACTCGCCAGTCGTGCGCAGTCATCTCGTAAGCCCCCCGTGTTAACCTAGATTTCGACTTCGTACCGAGAATCTAACTACTGCAGTCTCTTGACGATGTCGATTTTACTGTCCTAGCCGCGACGTCCGTGCTAGGCGACCTTATCGAAAAATGTCCCCCGGCGGAGGCATGTCGTGACGCATTTGATCGCATGAGTAAAGCCACCATTCAGATGTGTATGTCGACGACCGGCTTTGGGCCGCAGGCTCTTCGGTCCGTACCTCAGTCTAGGGCGCCAACGAACGTATCCCACTCTCCTAGTACATCCTATACGTCAGCCTCGGAAGCGGACGCAAGGTCAGACACGGAGATGACTGGATTTCCTCCCAACAACTACTATCAGCAAGCACGAAAGCCCATACCAAAATTCGACATGAATCTGCGTGATCTGTTTTCGGAAGACGAGACGGACAAGCGATCTTTTAGTCGCATATCGAACCAAATCTCAAGCATGCGACCTCCGCCGCCCCCAATCAAGCAGGAATCGCAGCAGCAGATGCAGGGTTTCAACACCGACACCTTGAAAATATCTCCCCAGCTACGCAGCCACCAACAGACCTTCAATTTCGATCCGAACCTTCGCCCTCCGCAGAACATTCCCTCACCCCAGCAACAACAGCAAAACCTACCACTCGTCTCGGGAATGTCGCAAGCGCCCTCTCTATCCCCCTCCCTCCCGCAAGGATCGTTATCCTCTCCTTATCAAATTACCAACACACTACCGTACAACAATTTATTACAAAACATATCCTCCACATACCCTGACATCGGCGGCTTCTCGGAACTGGACTTTTTGGACTCCTTCCCCGTGCAGGGGACTAGTATGAGCGGTGGTACCGGGGATGCGGCAGGCGGTCTGCAAGATCTGGGGTTCGGCATGGGGTTCGGTGACGGTACGCACGATTGGAGCGATGGAAATGGGTATGATCTGTTCGATGGGTTTTTCTTTGGTCCAGGGGGGACGGGTGGGGGCATGTAGATCTGAGTCGGCCCTTTTCGCGGATGGCGGCGAGCTCCGATGGGCGCGAACAGTGTGGGATTTCTGTACGATATCGCAATGGATTATAGTATGGGAATGTTAGATGAGGAATGACCAGCTCGGTATATAGAGGATTCGTGGGGACACGGTTATGTTATAACTTGGGCCACTGCCTAATGCGTGGGATGGTTCAAAAGAAGGCTGGGAGAGCATGATGATGGAATACGGCCAGGATAAATAGCTTTGAGATGGGCTCAAATATCCCTCGAGATAAGTGCCTGCATATTTCAATGCGACGAGGCTTTACGGTGTTGCTTTGCTCATACGTACATACTTGCTTGCGAAAGAGTCGTGTGGAAGGTTTGCCGGAGTCGTATTTCGCTGCTCGGGCAGTCGTTCGTGCAGCCTACCCAATGTGTGAGGATTACTTCGGGATGCTTCACGTCTTGATTCTGGATCATATATTAGGCTCAGGAAACACGTATACAGAGGTGTATATAATGTTATGAATGCTGGCGATGATATATTCGTATGGCTGTTTCTGGGTTCCGTGGTCGGAGTATATGCGGAGATACCGCCCGCTTCCAAACAAGTCCCACTGCGATCCACAGCTCTACTCTTTCCTTTCTCTTAGGTCTAAAAAGTCTTTCACTTTAACTTTGCGACTATGCTTCCTCTTGTTGCAGGTGTTATACACAAACTATATATTAGCTACAGTTTTGCAAACTTCCATAACTAATTCAGAACAATCCGATTCGGATTACCTGATTCAAACATCCGATATGGTCTAGTGGCTAGGATTTGCCGCTCTCATCGAGAGTCCAGTTCACTCCTGTAGTGCCGGCAAGGCCCGGGTTCGATTCCCGGTGTCGGAAATATTTTCTTTTTGGTCTTTTTTTGCCCTTTGGAACCGTATCCAAGGCGATGGTTGGTGGGAAGTGGGGTGATGGTGCGGCTGTGGGGCACAGGCGTAGACGAATGATCTTTTTGTGGGTGTGCGATCCTCTGTTTAGACGTGACTTCGCCTCGGCATTGTCTTAGATTTCAAGATCATGCTTAGGTTTTCATTCTTGTTTCTGATGTGCTTGCCCCTGGTGTGCCTAAGTCCGAGTAGAGTATTGGAGCTAGCATTCCCTTAACTTTCTGTGATGGTAGCAAATATATACTTGTATTTCTGGGAAACTTGTCGTCAACTCAAACTTTGTAGATACCCAGACAATCATGTTTCCATGAAAGTAGAAAAGTACTAACGTTGTTTGCGGCAGTGCTTGAATTCCTACACAATTGAATCGCATGACAACACAAGCTATATGAGCTCTAGATCACATGGAGACACCTTAGAACGGCAGTCGAGGATACTTCGTGTATACTCCTGATTCTAAGAAGACGATCTCACGATGCGCTAACACTCAACCTAACCTAGAGGGCATAATCCTATGGCTTCACTTCCCTAAACATAGATGTAGCAAAATTGGCCCCCATTACCTCCAATATTGGTCATCAAATCCCACATTGAGACAGGCCCTGCAGTCCACCCGAGGTCCACGATATCGTCAGCCGGAGGGTTACCTGGTACCTTGTTCATGCGGTTCTCAGGATCTTGCATCTGCCAGATCCACCATATCCTGTCGATCATACCTGCACGTAGCTGTCAGCCTTGCGTTCGGGGGTCAAAAGCTTCTCTTATCGACTGACCATGATGAAACCAAAAGACTGCGCGGTGAGTTAGCTATGAACTATATTATACCATTCGAGGTGCAACTTACCAGGATCGCCAGGAGAGGAGTAGAAATCCTAAATAGTCAATCAGTACATGTGTTCCCTTAAGTAAAGGAATTAGGAATTAACTCACGCCGCCCGGATCGCCTCCGATTGTGTAACTTAAGGTTCTATTAGCAAAAGTGTTTCCTTGCGAACATAAACATAAGAAAGTTTACTCACTGGCCACCCATGTGAACCCCCCAATCATTCTTGGCTGGGGTTCCCAACATCACCTGTTGGAACTTCTCAATATCGTTGTTCTCGGTGATGAGCGAATAGGTAAGCGCAGACGTCGTCGCAGCTGCGGAGAACTTATTCACGTCTCGGCGAAGACAGCGGGGATTAGAGCCGAAACCATCCGCACGTGGATTCTTGGGCGTGTCGGGCATCACACCGCCAATGGGTCCTAGACTGACTACCATGCTTCACAAGGTCAGCTGCGGTCGAGAGTACCCGAGTGTGCTTTAGCGCTTACTTCTTGAACGGCCCTTCGGTGACACACCCGCCACCGCCCGCAGATGGAATCATATCATATGGTTTAGAAAATCCATGCGTCATCACACCAGAGTAGTTGCTCGGTGCGCCGTTGCCACCCATGCTGGACATGTTGCCGTTGAAGAGGGGAGAGTTGATTGGGTCGTCAGCGTATCGACCCCAGTTCCAATACTGATAACACGTCAGGACACGTACATCACCTTCATGGGCTTGTTATACTGACTGGTTGGTATCCTTTATATCCACACTCATTCCGCAACGCCTGTTCGTATGCCCAGATGTAAAGACGGTGGGCTGGTAGTAAATGAGGCTAAAGGTGCGATGTTCAGTCGAGTTGTATCGGGAGACGTAATCCATACTCACTGTTGAATGGAGATGGAACGCAAGTGTCTCATGCGACAAGACAAAGTCGTCGTATCTTGAGAGAGTCCCGGGATACTTGGCAGTGTCTGCCTTCGGTGGCTTTGACTGCAAACACAAAACGGCCGCAATGTATTCCTCTCTTTGAGGGACAGTGAGATCGCCCCTGTAATAGATTCGTTAGGAGGCTAGTAAATTTGGTCTTATCACTCCGTACCATTCCATCCTCTTCACTGCATTCTCCAGCGTACATCCATGAGCCGACGCGTTTGTCTTTGCAAGGTAGGCTTCGAACTTGGCGAGATTAGCCTCTTCTAGCTTGTCGACTTCATCGAGGGGATAGAACGGGTTCTTTTGTCTGTAGGCTATGTTAGTTCGCTTCTCGTGGTTATCAATTATGTGCTAGCGTACCTGTTGAGACTAAAGGGCGTCTTTACTGGACCAGCGAGCACCCCACTCAAAGACGAACATAACAAGAAGATAGCCGTTGAGTAGAACATTTCTAGAGCTAGTATGAACAAACTTGCTCAATTCTACTCAGAGCACTGCGCCTGTACGTTCGGGTCTGAGCAGGTTATCTTATAACACTCTGAACAGCAGCACCGCAACAGAGCGCGACCAGTCAATAAGATGTTTGCATTAGTCTACATATCAACTGCCGTAGGCCTGGAAGTATGCAGTTTCACAACAACGGCGATCACCAATATCCGCAGGATCGCAAAGCAAGGGTTGAGCGATGTTGAGGACGGATGGGTGCCGCGTGCTGTGGAGTGACCAATGGAGCGGATTCGGATTGATGGGTTGTTTATGTTGGAGATGAACTCTTCTGGGGAAGCACGTGAGATACATTAAGAGGAGGTACGAGTCTGACTACGCCCGATTAAAGCATTGGTCGTTTCGATGATGTCCAATAGCCTCGAGGGCTCACTTTCGCGAATGAGCTTGGCAACGCGGAGAAGCCTGTCGGGTAATTGCCGCAAATGATCTTATCGAATCTTGAAGCTCTGCTATTCGTTCCACAGCTCTCCCTTTTGGACTGCCGCAATTTGGATAGACGTTCATTATTTGCGGTATTTCCACATTCCTGTCTTGGGAGAGTAGGACTGCTATTGAGTTGTGCTTCGTCGCAGAGCTGGAATAACACTGTGTGGATACTGCCCGATTATTCCAAGGTTGGCGTCCAAACTCCACATCCCGAAGGGTCAGGGATCGTCCGGGACGCGTACACTTGTTGGAGTAGACAGAGTAGTGAGACTTTCAATGAAACCTTGTAATTTTGTATCTGCGAATTGACTGGATTGGGCACACGATTACCAAGACGGACAGGTCGAGTCCGACTCCAGCATGCTTCATGGTAGCATTAGACCGGCAAATGATTCCTCTCATAGTACGACAACTCGTGTATGCAGTTCAAGCAATCTTGACCTGCTCTTTCTGCTGCCACATGAGCAGTGTCGCAGGAATCCCGGCTGCAGCAAACCCAACGATAATGCGGAGCTGCATATTATATCCCTTCAAGAAGACGTCTCTGACTATCGTCCGTAACGGTTCCTTCAACTCTTCGATGGTTTCCGTGGTTCGAAGGATTTGGGCCAAATCTTCTGGACCTATTATTGGCAGGAGCGTGCGTCGGACATCGTTATTCATTACCGCTGTGACAATGGCTACAGCGATTGCTCCTCCGAGAAGGCGGAATTGAACAGCGCCAGAGGTTGAGGTAGCTGGAGTATGGTAAGCTTAGTCCAAGTCGAAAAATATGTGCCCTACCCAGATCCCGCTTTTCTATTACAAAAGGTATCATTAGTGTCAATCCTCCGATGTTCAATCCACAACCAAGTCCTACTACTATTTGTAGGCCGTACTGTGCAGCTCCCCTAATATCACCCAGTGTTGTTCTCGACATGAAGACAAGTCCCAATGTTTGGAACACTGACCCAGCAAGAAGAAGATAGATCGGCGGCAATCTACGCTTTCCACATAATGCCGCTACTAGACCTGCACCTACAGGGACGGCTATTGAGAAGGGAATCAAGCGCACACCTGCTCGCCACGGGTTTTCGCGGTTTACCGCTTGAAACCGGAGTGGGATCTCGAAGATGCACGTCACGAAGACAGCTCCGACAAGAAACGAATTTCTGTACTTTAATTTAGCAAAGGCTTCTTATCTGAGCCACAACCTAAAGCTTACAAGAAAAGACCCATGATGACCCTGCTTTTGCAGAATCGCCAGGGGAATACTGGCTCAGGGTGAACGCCATCTTTGAGCGTGATCCATCGCTCATAGAAGATAAATATTACGCAGAAAGGTATCGAAAGCAGAATTGGCGCAAGGACCCTAGCGGAGGTCCATGGTGAGAAGTCACTTGCGTTCTCGAATCCAGTGATAAGAAGCGTAAGTGCGACGAGGAGCAAGCCAGCTCCAATAAAATCCACATTGCGGATGTTCGACTTCCTTATCGTCTCAGGGCGTCCGTGATAAGGGAAGTGATTCGGAACGCATATCAAGAGTAACGCAAGTGCGAAGGAGCCAACGGGAACGCTGGAAAGGAATTAGAATTGCAGCCAACGATGATGGGGAGGTTAATCTCAACATACTTGAGAAGAAATACCCATCGGTATGTCGTGCTCGTGTTGATTGCGCCGCCAACAAGGGGCCCAGCAAACATCGATATCGCAAAAAGTGCCGTCACGATCACAGAGTACAAAGGGTATTTCGCGGGTGGAACCATCTCAAATATCACAACAAGAACCAAGGAGTACACGCCCGATGCGCCAAGACCTTGGAAAGACCGAAAGACGATCCTGTGCAAACGTTACCGTGCTAACTCCGGCAGGTCTCAGGGGCGAAGAATCTTACAGTTGATTCATTGTCTGTGCTGCTCCACATGCGCCAGAGAATATAGTGAAAAGAGCAAGTGATGTGACCAGCATCGTTTTCCGGCCAAAGATATCGCTAAGCTTAGCCAAAACAATGATGAATGCTGTGGGTTGAAAAGATGTCAGTGGAAGCAGAATAACGGCAAAGGGGCCGCACTTGTGTATGATAACAGGTAGCCAGTAACAATCCATGAGCTGCGCCCGAAGGCATGGAGACCATCCGTGATCGCAACGAGTGAAGTGCTGACCACAGAAATCTCAAAGTTGACCAGGAAGATACTCAGGTATAGACTTTAGTTGTTAGTGACAGGAAGTAGATGATGGTAATTGAAGGTAGACCTACGCAACGGAAAGAATATGAAGCTTGGTTCCCGAAAGGTAG